GGACGGGGCGGTCGGGCGGCGGGGGAGCGGGTCTGGAGCTGGGTCCGAGACCGAGAGCGGGGCTAGGACCGCAGCCGGGGCCGGAGCTATCCTCCAGCGAGGTCCGCACCGTGGCTTGGGTTCCCACACCCGCAGGTGGCGGGGAGGTCGAACCAGACCCGCAGAGATACTCGTTGCTCGCAGGAGTGTTCAAGAGGTTGCATGGAGATAACTCTGAGTAACAGAGACCTGGGAGTTCAATCCCCGAGCTACTCTTGCATCAATCAGGACGGGCAGGGTTTTTCCCCTTCCACCGTTACTACCACCCATCACTCTTAGTGTTTTGACAAAGTTGTTTCTTCCTAATCTTTAAGCTGAGCAGGCGCACAAGGTGGTTGCAAGTTACAAACCTTCGAACTTTGACAAAAAAGTCCTCCTCTGGACTGGACGTTTCAAGACAGAAGAAGAGATTCCTCCAAGGATCCCGTAAGTGTGCTGCTCTTGTCCAAAGGGAACATGGAGCTGAAGGGAAAGTGTTGACCTGATCTAAAGCTTTTCCACAGAGTTTGAACCAGTCAGTTTTTCAACACTGAAGACTTGGAAACAAATTAGAGGGCAAAAGAATTTCCTGTCCTGGTTAGAGGTTAAGATGAAAAAATGTTCCTTACTGGGGTCCCCAGGGCCTGGGATTAAGAGCAGGATCCATCTGAGCAGATAGCCTTGGTTACATTTATGTACTGACTTGTTTATTTTGCTTATTCCTAACGTGCAACCAGGGAAGGATGTTATTGTATTTTTTGTTCATAGCTCCCATAAATGGTTCTAAGGGAGCTGACTGTCACTGAGTGATTACATCCAACAAATTATGAATTATAGAATTCCATAGAAACATAGAATGCTTTGGGTAGGAAGAGACCTTTAACGGTAATCTATGCTCCTACAGTGATCAGGGGTAGCTTGAAACTGATCCATTCCTCAGAGCCTTATCCATCCTGACCTTGAATGTCTCCAGGGATGGAGCTTCTACCACCTCTCTGGACAAACTGTTCTAGTGTTTCATCACCCTCATCATAAAAGTTTTTTTCCTTATTTTTAGTGTAAATCTCCTCTCTTTCAGTTTAAAACCATTGCCTCTTGCCCTGTCACAACAGGCTCTGCTGAAAAGACTGGCCCCATCTTTCTTACAGGCCCCCCTAAGATACTGGAAGGCCACAATAAGGTCACCTCGGAGCCTTCTCTTCTCCAGACTGAACAGCCCCAACTCTCTCAGTCTGTCCTCGTAGGAGAGCTGCTCCAGACCTCGGATCTTTCTCGTGGCCCTTCTCTGGACACGCTCCAGCAGGTCCACGTCCCTCTTGTAATGGGGGCTCCAGAACTGGATGCAGTACTCCAGGTGGGGTCTCACCAGAGCAGAGTAGAGGGGGAGAATCACCTCCCTCGACCTGCTGGCCACACTTCTCTTGATGCAGCCCAGGATACCATTGGCCTTCTGGGCTGCAAATACACATTCCTGGCTCAGCTTTTCATCCACCAGTACCTCCAAGTCCCTTTCTGTAGGGCTACTCTCAATTCCATCATCCCCCAGCCTACACTGATACTGAGGATTGACCCAATCCAGGTGCAGGACATTGCACTTGACCTTTTTGAACCTCATGAGACTCACACGGGCCTACTCCTCAAGCTTGTCCAGGTCCCAGTGGATGGCATTTCATCCCTCAGGTGTGTAAACTACACCACTCAGCTTGCAGTCATCTGCAAAATTGCTGAGGGTGCACTTGATCCCCCTGTCTGTGTCATTGATTAAGTTACTGAACAGCACTGGGCCCAGGATGGACCTTTGAGGGACACCATTGTAATTGATCTCCATCTGGACATCAAGCCATTGACCACTACTCTCTTGATGTGACCATCCAACCAATTCCTTATCTGCCAAACAGTCCAAACATCAGATCTGTATCTCTCCAATTTAGAGGATTTGAGGAAAAATAGAGGAGGTTATGAGAGAAACATCCCTCCTCAAAGGAAAACTGGTTACTTGACATAGCCTTAGCCTGTTGACCTACTGGACTAGATGATTTTTAAAGGTCCCTTCCCACCCAAACCACGCACATTCTGTGGTTCTCTGATTCACTGAAAGTTAGCACCCCCAAGGGAGTCAGTCACTGAATGCATGAACCTCCTCTAATGCCAACTGCTGCCTTTTTCTTAGGATGTTAGTCTGTTAGACATCTCTCTTCAGGACACTACTTTTTATCAGCACAGTATGTCCCTGTCTTGCATGGTGTGTTGAGCATAAGCAGCACGCAGAGCTGTGTCAAGCAGTAGGTATATCCTCTGCCTGTTCTTGGCTCCTGAGAATCTGCTGAGCTGGACCAGTGGTTTTTTCACAATCCAGGCTCTCTTGCACTCTTCATCTCACCATCTGCCCCTAGAGAAAGGTTCAGGCAGGTGTCTGAAGCTCTAAAAGCTAGTCAAGTTCTTGGGAGGTGTTTATAAAGACCCATGCATTTGCCAGTCCATAAGCATAATGAAGAGCTGGGGTTTAAACCTCCAGCCCTGAAAGAGGGCTGGCATATGGATGATGTCCCCAAAACAAGACCCTCCTAATTGGTTTTCCCCCAGGGTCTGGCCAGCCTTGGGTGGGAACTGATTAGGAGATCACCACCAGATGCCCCTGCCTTCCACATTAACTTGGAGGTGGGGCAAGACACCACCTACATAAGAACTAAATGCTTGTTACAGGGTTGGGAGTTCTATTTATGTAGTGTATGTGTTGTTAGAAAGGCTTCTTGAGTGTGTATGGCAAGTGGAATTCCCAGGATGGTGGGGACCAAGATGAGTCTCTACTATGCAGCTGGACTTATGGCCTAGCTAATGCCATCTCCCATGGCTTGGATTCTTGGCCAGCTCACTCCCTCCTTCACAACCTATGTGGTAAGTGAATGTATTAACTTATTGCTCCTTCTGGTGATTTGGCACCTTGGATTGGTTGTGAAAGATTTAAGAGCAGAGGGAGGATTTTGGCTGTTAGTCTGCTTGTTAATGATAATATCTTTCTATATTGGGCAAGTGGTCAGCAGAAGACGTACGCATGCACAAATTGCTCATTTCTGTGTGGTAGCTGGCCTGGCGAGTGAGTATCACCACTTTGTGCTTTCTAGGTGAGCAAGGTCTTTTTAGAACTATGAGATCTTAAATAGTAATACACTAAAAGGTAATTGACAGACACTGAAGCTGAACTCTGTCACTGCTTTAACTATTAACAAAAAAGGAATTGCAAGAAATTGTTATCTGTGAATGCAATTTGGCTGCTGAAGCCAGTTTGTACTAAGGGTCAAATCTCCAGTCTTTATGCAAGGTTGTTATGTGGTTGTGTTTTGGCTGTAGGGTTTTGTTTTAAAACAGCTGTTACTGACTTCTGCAGAGGTTTACCCAGAGTCTTGATTAAAGATCAAGTAACAAAGCTCCTAATGTGCAATTAGGGAAGAACATAATCAGGTCTGTTTTCCTTAGAGCAGAGTCAGGAAGCAGGGAGAAAGTGAAAATCTGCTTCAGAAGAGTTTCAATTACTGTATTGTAAAATGTGATTAGGCTAATAAGCCAGACTAATAACAGCTCTGGTTTTTCCTTTGTTGCCACAAATGAATTAGGGGTTTAATGATTTTATGTGCTAGCCTGCTGTGCAGTTTGTTTTAAAGATGATGTTTACTATCGTACAAAACAGAAAGGGTCCCTGGGAACTGCAGGCACTGGCAGTCGACCACAAGAAGTGGGTTACACAGAGCACGTGGATGTGTGTGTGCTGGCAGGGGAGGGGGCAGCACCGCGCAGCCAGCTGCCCGTTGCTCCTGTCCTCTTCTGTTACCTTAAGGCTTAGAGAAGACACCACAGCCCTCAGCTTTGGTACAGGCTTCCATGGGCAGAACCTCCACTATGAATCTCCAGCTCTACCCCATCCTGCCTCATCCTCTTTGAAGTAAAGCTAAAGGTGTTTTAGCGGAAAGAGATCAGTGCAAGATCTTTACACACAACATAAAATCAAATCTTTATGCAACTATCCTTTTTACATATATAAAACCATAACTGTATATTTACATTCTATGTATTATGAACAATCTCTTTGTATACATAAAAATCATTCCCATCTGATGGATGAAAGGGAAACAGTGCACAGCTAGCAGTTTAAGGACCAACTTAAAAACTGTACTCCAAACTATAATGACTCACTCAGAAAAAGACAGAGTTTTGGGACAATTTTAGCAACATGGAGGTGTCCTGTACTGCAGGTTCTCAGGGGCGTGCAGCCTCCTTAAGACAGAGGAGGGTGGAAATGGGAGCCACACCAACAGAGTTTGCTGGGCTGTACAATGCCTCTCTTGCAGCAATTACTGCCAAACACCAGGCAGGAGTTTTCCTTACTTTTGCCTTTGACCAGCAAAAATAATCGTATAGATTGTTTGGATTGCTTTATTCAGGTGTGTGTTCCCATAATAGTGAGAATGGTGACACCAGCTGCTCACTCTAAATAAAGCTGCTGCTTTTCTAAACCCTTCAACTCATAGTAGTACAGACTGTTTCAATCACCTCTAAGTACTTGGAACTCCCTAGCCTCCAGTATACAGGACACCAACTAAACAGGTTAGATATGACAATAATTCATTTCTAGAGATAATTCTGAATAAAAAGGACTTGATTTCATCATATCTGATTGACACCACAGATACTTCTCCAACTGTTTTAAAGTAGAAACATAGAATCACTTTGGTTGGAAAAGACCTTTAAGATCATTGAGTCCAACCATTAAGCCTCTCTACCAAGTCCACCTCTAAGCTATATCCCCAAGCACCACATTCACATGGCTTTTAAACATGTTCAGGGATGGCAACTCAACCACCTCCCTGGGCAGCCTGTTCCAGTGCCTGACAACCCTTTCACTAAAAAAGTTCTTCCTAATGTCCTGTCTAAACCTTCCCTTGAGCAGCTTGAGGCTATTCCCTCTTGTTCTGTCACTAGTTACTTGTGAGAAGAGACCAGCACCTACCTCTCTACCCCTTCAGCCTTCTCTTCTTCAGACTAAATAGCCCCAGTTCCCTCAGCTGCTCCTCAGAAGACTTGTTGTCTAGGCCCTTCAACAGCTTAGTTGCTCATCTTTGCACCTACTCTAGCACCTTGATGCCTTTCTTGTACTGAGGTGCCCAAAACTGCACACAGTACTCAAGGTGTGCCCTTACCAATGCTGAGTACAGAGGGACAATCACCTCCCTGATCCTGCTGGCCACACTATTTCTAATACAAGCCAGGATGCCGTTGGTCATCTTGGCCACCTGGGCACACTGCTGGCTCATATTCAGCTGCTTGTTGATCAACACCCCCAGGTCCCTTTCTGCCAGGCAGCTTTCCAGCCACTCTTCCCCAAGCCTGTAGCATTGCCTGGGGTTGTAGACCAAGGTGCAGGACCTGGCACTTGGAGTGGTTGAAGGTCATACAACTGACCATGGCCCATTGATCCAGTCTGTCCAGGTCTCTCTGTAGAGCCTCCCTACCATCAAGCAGATCAGCACTCCCATCCAACTTGGGGTTGTCTACAAGCCTACTGAGGGTGCACTCTGTCTCCTCAAGATTAATTGATGAAGATGTTGAACAGAAGTGGTCCCAATACTGAGCCCTGAGGAACACCACTTGTGAGTGGTTGCTGGCTGGATTTAGCTCCATTCACCACCACTCTGGGCCCCTTAATTTTCAGTTTAAATAAAGCTTAAGGTATTATTGCTGGTATATTTACGCCAAGTATTTAAATGCAAATATTTACAACATGAGCCCTGCAAAATGTTTTCTACTGGAAATGGATTAGGGTCAGAAAATGCAAAGCACAGTCATGGTGCCCAGTTTCAAGGTTTAGTGGTGGGCTTGGCAGTGCTGGGTTAACAGCTAGAGTCAATCTTAAAGGTCTTTCCAACCTAAATGATTCCATGAAGTTCTTGTATGGGATATAACCACTGAGAGCAAGCTGAAGATTCTGTTTTAGAAGCTAATTCTGTTACTTATTTTTTGACGTCAAGTATCTTCAAAGCATCACGGATATAACATTGCAAAGTTTTGTAATTATTCAATTCAATAACTTTAATTGCAGGCCAGAGATGCTAGACAGGGCAAGAAACAAAGCTCGAGTTAAAGCTTGTTACATCATGATCGGGCTCTCAATCGTTGCCTGCTTTGCAGTGATTGCCTCAGCTAAAAAGGTGAGTACAGCGCTCGTTATCATGCAGCACTTTAAAAAGTTGAAATTCTGTGAAAAGCAGACAAACCTAAACAAGCAGCAGCAGCTTACACCTTCCCTACTTTTAGTTAACCTATGTTCCTGTCACCCTCGACAAGTAGGCAGTTGCTGGCTGTCCCCAAGACTGGGTGGCTTTCCCTGAGGTGCATCATTACTCCTACTATGCTACTCTTAAGTAGATGTTTTACCTCCACAGGCTGCTGCTCGTCACGAGTCCTTAACAAGCTGGAACTTGGCAAAGAAGGCCAAGTGGCGGAAGGAGGCTGCACTGGCAGCAGAGGCAAAGACAAAGTAACTTCGTGTGAAATGCCAAATGTCCTTGTAGGAGCAAAGTTAACTGTTGCTGAGGGTGGTTCATGAATTTCACCAACAAATGGATGGCTGTAGCACCGCACATGTTGGAACCAGTAAGGATAGTTACAGGATCACACAAAAAGTCTTTTATTAGAGATACATAATATACTCACTGCATAGAATTAAAATTAGTTAGAATGTTTTGCCTATGACTAAAAGCAGTAACTAATTTCAAAGGAGGTGAGGTGGTTTCCCAAGAGTGTCTGGTATGTTTGGTTAGATACTTACCCAATATATTTAAACCCACCAAGGTCCCTGACTGGTGACAGTGGGCAGCTGTACAGCACACAAACCAGCTGGTTTGAATTTGTTTTCCTCAGTGCTGTACTCAGAATGGCATTGGCGCTCCCTAGTTTAAGAAGCCACACTTACTGAACAACTAAATAAATACAATAAACATCTGTAAAATAGGTTTTATTGGTTTCTGTATGGTATATTTGGAGATTTAACATTCCATAATATTGCATACTACTCATTTGTGTTCTGGTACAGTAATGGGCCTTTGGCCTGGATTGAAAGATGCACTATTACTGCCCAAAGTCAGGTATTTTAGTTTCCATGCATCATATGAAAATACTGTGCCATAAGTAACTGAAATTTCTCATTCCAGATGTTAACAAATTCTTAAGGTCACAGTTAAACCCCACATGTCAATTGGTAGACCTATTACAAAAACCCTCAGTTGTACAACTTGCTGTATTCAAAGTGAGAACTGTGGAGGAAAGACAATAGTGCATCTTTTTTTTCCAGACAGACCAGACAATAAGTATTTTCCAGTTGAAAACTTGTTCTAGAGCTAACTTGTTTCTGTGCCAACATTATTACTACTTTCCGATTGCTGCTAGCAAGTGTTTAAAGCAAATACTAGAAAATTAAAAAGCTGTATGAACCAGTCCTCAGACAAAAGTGCAATGATGAAAAAATTAGATATGACTCAGTGTATCAAGAGTAGGGAACTAAAAACCAAAATAAATCTTATGCTTTGCATAGTTGCATAGATTAAGTAGTTAGTATTCACATATAAGCAGAACAAATGGTACCCTTTTAAAACCAAACCCACGAAATTCAACCCCTGTGTTTTTAAACAGACTTTGTAACTGATGGAGCACTTCAGATTCCACAGAAAAAAAGATAATCAGATTTTCTATTTCCCCCCCCCCCCCCCCCCCAGTTTCATCTGTTTAGGCAACATCATATTCATGCCCCTACCTGCAAATGACTGCACCAGAGCTGACCTTAACTCATCTCTCATTTTATATTGTTCATTTATATGCTTTCAGCAATGTGTGATGTAAACCCAGTGATAAAATAGGAGGAGAGGCCATTCTGTACATCTATGCTTTAAAGAATTTTCATTATTACTTCTAAACAATTTTAAATTCAACATTTGGTTTACCCTAAATAATGATTTTCATTAGCCAAAGTCCATCAATTTTAGTTCCCTTTAGACTGTTACATTTAAATGTATCAGGCATGAAATACAGCTTATCTAAATGTGTAAAGTGCAGTCACTAACCGTTCACACATAGAGTAATATATCCACAAAACTGAGGACATTCTTTCAAAACAAATACAACACTTTAAATGTCTCCCCTTTTCTTCATTTTCAAGTCTTTTAATCAAGATTTTTTTTAGTTCAGATTTGGTTTAAATTAGAGAGGCTTATAAATGAAGTTTTTACAGGGTTCTCCAAATAAAAAGCAGGCACAGCTGGTTATGTTATCAAAACAAGGTTGTTAGAAACCATGGAATACCCTGTTACCTGAATAATTTTCTTACACTAGAAGAACATTGAAATTCAGCATTTACTAGTAATCCTGGCAGATTTCCATGTTACCCTGTACTTTGCAGAAATGGAGTATGGGGGGATGGAGAAGGAAGGTCAGTGTATGAAAACCTAAAACTATGAGAATAAAAAGGGCACAAATACAATCATCTAACATTATATGAAAATTTGGCAGCTGTACTCAATGTTATCACACTATTCAAAACTGTTGTATGCTGTACAAATCTAGGTTTAAAGTGTCATTTGCTAAAATATCTCATTATCCAGAGTTCATAAAGTAACAGCACTCCTATATACACTGCTTACGCTCCTACCTTCCACTAAAAAGACTTCAAAAAGAGGTTTATTTCCTCCCAGTTACATCTTAGCCAAAACTGACCATTAACCTTAGAAAATCCACTTCAAGTCCCACATTCAATTACAATATAGTATATATTGCTGTAACATCAAAGTGAAACATCTTAGAATATTAACTTGGATGTAAAAAAAATTCTAAATATAAAATGGTACTGTAAATGATACCACCTTTAACCTGTATTTTTCAGTGCATTAAAATGTTTAGTGACAAGCACAGTGCCATGGGGTAAGTAATTTGAAGTTTAAATTGCAGCTTTTTATGAAGCATGAAATGTTCTCACATGTCAAGGATTTCATTTAACCCAGGAGTTTGATGTTAATTACAGGTAATAAAAAGTAGTCATACTTCAGTTAACCTGAAGTATGAATTTCTCCAAATGAGATTTACTACTAATACACCAGAAACACTACTTATATGTGAGTCGAAGCAGAGCATACATTTTTCTGTATTCAAAATTGTTAACGTAAATAATAGAATTCTATTTCTTTTAGTCTTTAACAGCAAACACTGTACATTGTAGAGTCTAAATATTTAGATGACAACTTCTAATTAATTTTGGTGTTCACATACTTAATGCTATTTACAGTACAACAAATTTGTCCTTCAGCTGGAAAGGAGTGATTCACTATTCATTCTTCACTGCAGTATTTCTCTTGTCTCACCAAAAGAAAACCGAGTTAGTTAAAGAACAAGTCAAGTGGCAGTAGCGAATTTGGTCAAAAAAATAAATACCTACTCTCTAAACTTTCACGAAGCTACTGTACTAGAAAGGCAAACATTGCAATGTTTCTCAAACTAAAGTGGTGTTTGTTACCACATTTTGACAGGAACCCATCTGCTCGGTGATTTGTGCAAGTCACCACCCCTGTCACCCATAATGGCAGCATCCTGTGGTAACTACAGCAACTGCTTCCGCTGCGGAGGGCTTGATTTGTGGCCAAATTTTAATGCTGTTTAGCAGCTTTAATTACAGAGCCAACATCAAATGGCCAGCAAGCTCTCTGCTGATTCCAATTGGAAAAACTCTCAAATAGTCCTCTTCCACCTAATTCAGAAAAAGCTTTTTCATATATTCAATATTATATTAGGTAATTAGCATTATATATGTATATCTACTATGTCTTTAAATATATTTTATAAATAAATTCCAACAGTGTGTTGCAAAGTAAGTAATGCATAAAAGTTTCACAATTTAAATAAATATTTTTCACATTCCAATTCAGCTTCTATCAAGCTCATCTTTATTTCATGCCTTAGTTCTGAAGCACTGCTTTTGCTTCAATATAAGAGGTAGATTTGATAGTCTGGGCAAGTCAAGCCTACTGCCAAAAATGCAACTGTCAGTAACTGTATTGCTGATATGCAGTTTGAGACTACATGAAAAATTCAGAACAACTACCTAAAATCCTACCAAGTCTTAGCTTAACAGTTCTTGCTAAATCACATTTAATGCTTTACTTTAGACAGGATTACTCACAGTTGTTTTCTGTACATAAGAGATAATGAAAAACACAAAACACAGAACAGTTGTATCTAACATAACATATAAAAGTGCATGAGCTGCTTCTTCATCTGTTTCTACAAAACGCATTCCACTTTTCCTCTAACTTTGGCCATAAAGAAAAGACCCCTGGGGCAACAAAAAACCCAAAACCGTACAAGTGGTTACATTTGATGCTTGTCTTTACTCCTGTAGTTTACAGCTGAAAGCCTTCCATTGGAGCCTCCTGCTGCTGAAACACAAACTGCTGCTGACTCTCATCCACCGGAGGTGCAATACTGGAGTCCTCTTCTTCAACACCAAAGTAATGTTCTATGAGTTCAAAAGCCTTTTGGTAGATCTCTTGGTTCTCATGCCTCTGAAGAAACTCAATTTTATCAAGTCCTAAATTCAAAACAAAACATTTTCAAAGTCGAGTTAAATGAATGGCGAATTCAAAGGGAAACAGCTTACAGTGTAGTGGTGGTATTTATACAAAAACAAATAAAATGCAACACCAAATCATCTCAATCAATTTGATATCACTGACTTGATTTCCTAATCCAAGTATTTCTAGTCTTCTGATGTCCAAACTTATTTTAAAACTATGCTAAAAGAGTATTAATTTAACTAAGAGGAGGCTGTGTTGTCTACAAAGTAATATGCCATGCCTACAAAGAAATGGAACCTGTATAGAACTAGGACAGCATAAAGCTATTTGCAGTAGCAATTTCCAATATCCCCATTTCTTTTCTTTTACTCTTTCAGTCTTCCCCAGCTCTAAATTCTATCCTCTATTATGGAGTCATCACTGGGCACAGTCTGTAATCTTTTTTCAAATTTAGTTTTAAGATTTGAAGATCACGTCCTTTCAAAGCCTTACCATTTGCAAGCTAAGAGGATGTAAACTCTGCTGTGCTGGCAGAATTAAGTGCTTGGAGGTTAGTTAGGTTGATTCAAAACTCTTTTTTAGCTATTTAAGAGAATTCAGTTTTCATTTAAAATTGGATGAGGAAGAGCTCACGTGAACCCTTATGGTGACCACAGAGGCCAAAGCTATGAGGATATCATTAGCTGTTTCTGCTGCTTGAACTTATACTCTACAGCTTCAGCAGCCTCTGCTTAACTGGTAAAGGAAAAAAAGAACCTAGGCATTCAGCAGCTGAAATTATGAAAAGACTCAAAATCTGGAACAGAATAAATTCCATTAAAGTGTTCAATACTTATTCCTCTTACGTGTTAAGGTTGCAAAGTAAGTTCCCCGAGCACGCACTTGATTTGAGAAATGAAACTCTGTAGCAGGGAGATCAGACTTAAAGGCTGCTTTGCAGAAGTTAGTACCATCTAATGAGATACTGTGTGGTCAACTATAATGGCTATTAGCTGTTTCTGAAATACAAATGTCTGCAATTTTGTTTTGTCAGAGCCACAAAAAGATAATCCCCCATAAATAATACTAGATTCATTATAAGTCACTTTAAAAATTAATTTTGTTAAATCAAAAGCATCTAGTCATGAAATTCAACAAATAGTCGTTTCAGTTTTGATACTCTGTCTTTAAAATGTTGACTAATTCAGCAACTTTTAAGAGAAGAAAAACATAATACTTTCCTAAATTAAGTACAAACTTAATATGATCTGAAGTTGATTTTACTATGACTGTTATTTACCCTGCTAAAAAGGGATGCGATCTGGGCAGTAACAAACCCTGATCTTGCATCTCTCTTGGTGATGAAACAGTACCAGACAGGACTATACATTAAAGTAACAGAACTGTATTTAAGATTGGTTGATAAAATTAAAACATGGCTCCAATAGTTGGTCACCTATGTGTTAAACACTTCTGAGAATGTTTCTGGAGGGACATTTCATAAACTGACCACAGACAAACATCCACTGGTTTTCTGCATTTAAGCACTTTTCCCACTGCACCACATCACTTATGACACTTCAATGTCCATATATGCTTGAAGCAATTCTTATATTAAGCTTATCTACAAGTTTCAACATGGTTCACAATGGTTTTGTTTTTACAGCCTGAAATAAGGAAGTTCAGGTACATAGTTTTACAAGAAGTAATTTCTTACCATATGCTTCCTCTATGAGGGCACAATAAGGATTAATGCCCATTCCATTTTGCTTAGACTCTTGCTCTCCAAGGCGCAGAATATTTTCAAGTCCATTTAAAGCCACCTGTACTATTTTTGAATCCATCACGGTCAGGAGGTCACAAAGAGGCTTGGTACAACCCAGTGCTACCAAATACCTTTAAAACAGCAGAAAAACAGAAGGGCGTAGGGATAAAAAGAAAGAATGATAATCCATCACATTCATTTTGACATTCCAGTCTATCACTATTGGGCCTTAATTTTGCTAAACAACAAGAAGAAAACAAAGGTGACTGAAAAAACAAATTCTAAACCATGCAACAACACAAAGGTAATCTTAGCCTGAAATGAAATAAATATTCTAATTTATCCTAATAAGAAAATTTAACATCTATATTCTTAACTGGAGCATGGAATTTGTAGTCTTTTCCTCCTTTTCACTGAAGATCTTTAGACAGGTTTAACTGAATATATGATGAAGAGAAGTTAACTTTAGAAGTTCTTTTCTCAGGTATTTGAAATATTGCAGCAACAAAAATATTGAAAAAATGTGACTGATAAGAACACTGGATACTGCTCTGTGCTAATGTAATCCACACTAGTAGTCCATTAAGATATTAGCATTACCTGCTATAAAGGAAAGGACATAACTGTAAATATTTTAAAAACTGTGATTTCAAGTAGCCTGTTACTTTTTCCAATTTTGCACAAAATTGCGTATGAACTTTTGTACGTCAGAACCTACGTCCTTGTTTCTAGTGTGTAAGTAAAATGAAGAGAGTCATGCTTGCCTGCATCAAAAGGTTGCTTAAATATAGTTTATATAGTGGTTTTAGAGTATCCTGCAGCAGTGAAGACAGTCATACCTCAAGGACATTAAAAGGGCTAAAAATCATTACAAGATAATGATTCTGTATTTTACAACAAGAAGTTACTTTTATGGTACTACATGCACTTTTACTATTTGAAGATCCCAAATTAAAATGTGTTTGACATCTAGAACCATAGAATGGTCTGGGTTGGAAGGGACCTTAAAGATCTTCTAGTTCCAACCCTCCTGCCATGGGAAGGGACAGTTGATACATTATGCAAGCAATGAGAAAAATAACAAAAATACAACAGCAAACTTTCCTTACCTCTGATAACATTTAGTGGTAATAAGAAAACCAGCACTCTTTACTTTTTAAATAAATAAGCACTTATTGCAACAGTTCTCCCAAGTGCACTGGAAGAGTTATCACACCACTTTCAGTTCTAGCTTCTAAATACTTCACTGGCATTTTTAAATCCATTTATCAACTACCAACTCAAACTTATCGTTATACTGATGGTATCCACAGAAACCAGGCAGTATTTTATTCTAATTATTCAGTAAGTCCAGTCTTTGCAGAACAGCTGCTGACAGTAAAATTTTAATGAAACTCAATTTTGAAAAAGGTTAGATATCTGATTTAAAATAAAACTAACAATGACTTTAAGATACATGAAGTAGCTACTAAAATTTCTGAAGTCTCTCCACAAAGACACAATCCCATTGCACAAGTTTTCTAAACAACTCAAAGTTTTCCATTTTCAAACATTGAAACTGTTCATTAACTATTCCAATTTTGTTTCACAATATATCACCTCTGAAAGAAAACCCTGTGAAAGCTTTAGATGTAACACCATTAAAAGCAATACTGGGCTACTTAAGTTTACTGGATGTATTTCACTCCTGAATTTCTACATGTTTAGTCCCTGCAGTACAGACAGAATGTCAAGGAATTACAGATGCACTTAGGATTTTGTTGCTGTGCTTGTCAAGGTTCAAATGCAGAAATAAAAATGCCTTAGAGGAGATACTCAAGCAGAAAAAACAGTAACATGTACAAACTTACCTAATCTGTTCAGGGGTTCCTCCTGATGTTGCATTAGTTATGGCCCACGCTGCTTCTTTTCTGGTGCGAAATTCAGCTTTTTGAAGAATTTCAATCAATATTGGAAAAATATTTGCATCTATAACACCCTAAGAGATGAAATTGTAATATTAGTAAATATTTAGCATACACAAAAAACATTAACACCCTTCACTACAAGACTCAGTGATGCTTGTTGATATCAAAGCAAACAGTGTTTTGTTAGAAGGCACCACACAAACTAGAAACACTGAAGTGAAGTTCAGAACTATTCCAACATTGAACTGCAACAGCCAGAGTCTCTTTTTTGGTTTCTCTGTCTCTGGTGGACACAATACTGCTTACTGGACATGCCCACTGAAAAAATGTATGATATAAGCACTAAACCTGCGTTTTTCAACTAGAGATGAACCCTCGGAATAAAACTTCACTTTGTCTATTTTATTCAGGCTTGCAGTCCACGTAGAAAGACCATGTCTGCAATTGGAGACTATGTTATATATTTTAAAGGTTATTAGGAGGTAACATTTTCATCTATGATTGAAATGGAGCGGGGAGAAAACAATCATATTGATACATGTACTCTGATTCAGAAGTCTCATTTTTATTGACCAGAACCTTCAGTAACTTCAGACCAGACCTGGAGCAGTAGTCAGGATTTAGTAGTTTCTACAAGCATACAACTCAGTACTGATGACATCAAGCAGGTTTACTTAATACAGGCAAAATGTTCCAAACATTTCCAAATTGGTAGAATTGTCCACTTTACACTGGACTAATTTGCGCAAGAAGTTTTGTTTCAACTTTTAAAAAAGAAAAATTGCTTATTACTTTAACTTGTATATTACAATTGTCCTGGTTTTGGCTGGGATAGAGCTCATTTTCCTTCTTAGCTAGAACAGTGCTGTGGTTTAGACCCAATATGAGAACAATGTTGACAACACACTGATGTTTTTAGTTGTTGCTAGGAACTTGCCATGTTTTGCTAGTGTGCAGGTGCACAAGAAGCTGGGAGGGAAAGTGGCCAGGACAGCTGACCAGAACTAGCCAAATGGATATTCCATACCATAGCATGCTCAGTACATAAACATGGGGGGACTGGCCAGGAGGGACAGGTCAATGCCTGGGCACTGGTCAGCAGGTTGCGAGCAGCAGCACTGTGCATCACTTGTATTCTCTTGGGTTTTATTTCTCTCTCACTTTTCATTATATTCCTTTCCTTTAAAATTATTATAATCTTATCTTATTATAATTCATCTTAGTTATTAAACTTTTGGTTGTTTGGTTTTTGTGGGGTTTTTTTGTTGCTCGTTTTTTTCTTTTCTTCTTTTTTTTTTTTTTTTTTTCCCCTCCTCCCCCCAGTTCTCTCCTTCCTGGCTGTTAAACCAATCCCTTTGAGATAAATTGATCAGTTTCCCTAGTACTAATTGTGACAACTATTTCTAAAGTATTACTTTATAATAATATTTCAAAATTTAGAAAAAAATATTTAAATTAGGTAAAATTATATATACTCAGGATGAAAACAAATAATGAAGAATCAGTGTAACATCTACTGATTTTTTCCATGTGAAGGAAAAGCAATTGAACTAGTAAAATGAAAGCAAAACCAACCAAATAACAAATATACAGGCTTCACCTGGATCTGAGCTCTGTTTCCTGCAGTGATATTAGAAACAGTCCAGCATGCTTCTTTTCGAATAGATTCCTTGGGACTACTAAGCAAGTGCAAGAGACAAGGTAATGCAGAGCAGTTCAGGATTACCTAAAATAATTTTAGAATTAAAAATTGTGTTGTACAACATATACATATAGGCTTGTGCAATATACACGCATATATATATAAAAGAACTATTAGATGACTTCAAAAGATTTTGCAACACACTTATATTATGCAAAGTATCATAGACAACATCCTGCAAAATCAGTAGTCAATGCTATGGTGTGCAAATAGACAATCCAGCAATTTGAAAGAATCTGCCCTCAATTAAGTTCAGACCAGAAGACTGATAACAGCAAGACTAAATTCATATTCTGCCTTAAGCTGTCTTATAACTGAGAATAACTGAATAGTGTAAATCTAATTTTTATAGTTTTTTTCTAAGGGACAGATATTTTCTATTTAATTTCTTAGCAAAATCCTCACCTATAAAGGTCACAACAAAATATATAATTAGCTTATTTCCTCATTTTCCCTTTACACTACTTCTGTCAGCCTTTTAGATGGAATTTTAGTTAAAGCAGGACCTGTCTTAGTACTTCCTGCATGACTTCAAATATAATTCTATTGCCTAAAATTTAAAAAATAAATCCTTATAGAACAAATCTTATCAGTAAAAATTCAGGGACAAATCAAGTATGACCATTGCTTTCAAGTGAAAAATTTGACTGCATTCGAAGACTTTAAAAAAAGGCAATGATAATACATAACCGAACCTTCATTAAGAAGAAAAAAAAAATAAAAAATGGGAAGCAAAAGCCAAAGTACCATACAGGAATGAAGCAATCCACAGCACTGTAAAAAAGTGTTTGTTCTTGCAGTATTTTAATGTTTAAAATGGCAGCCTTAACTGTCAAATGAACAATACAGATCTTTTACTGACATACACAGACATCTGTACTGGACATGTATTTTGTCATTATTTTTACAAAATTCTGTCCTGGCAATTAACTTTTCTTAAATCAACCAGTCTTACCTGTGTTTGGATATCATCCCCAGTAACAATATTTCCAACTGCTCTCAGTGCAGGGGATACCACCTTGTAATCATTATGCCTGGAAACAAATATGAAATTTCTTGATATTACTAGCTGTATAGTAAAATTTATCAGCCCCCCTTTGTAAGTTAACTTCCCCCTTGTTTAAGTCAAGAACCCTAGACACCAGTACATGAATGAAGCCCATATTCCCACATTCAGCTGTTTGAAGCCTACTCAATTTTCCAAAAGCTTCTACAGAAGAGAAAGCAACCTCCCCCTCTCCTGACAGCTCTCCACAGGGAACTGTGCTCAGCCGTCAGTGCTGGGAACTACCACCCCTGACCTGCCCTGCCCTGCCGCCCCCATGTGAGCACAGGGATTTAGCCTCCCTTTCTAGGAAAATAATGAACCATAACAAAAATATACTGCAACAGTTCAGAAGTGGCACAAGCCTGCCTATGTACTTCCTGAGTCCAAGAACTGTCTGTACTGCAACTACTTCTAAAAAGGTAAGAAAATAAATTACAATAGTGCAAACTGAGAAATTAATTTACAATTTAAGCTTGATCTTCAAGTCTTCTCCTTCCTACTGCTCCATGTAAAATAAATCCTACATTAAAGACTATAAAGGAATATTTTGGAGAAAACTTCTTTTCACTGTCAATTTCAGGAAAAATTTTACAGGAGCCAAGTAACTCATAGCAAGCAACTTAAAAGGTTTCAGACTGAATTCATGTTCACCACTTCTCATAAAATAAATTCAGAGTTGAGGTGAGAAAGAGATAATATTATTAATGAATTCAAATTGAGTTAACAGTACTGTAAGACATTTATTTGGTGAACAAAAGACTTACATAAGCAGCTCTACTAATCTTCGACACACTCCAGAATCAATAACAGCTTGGATTTTATCATTGGGACCATCTGAAAGGTAGGAAAGGGCCCAGCAAGCATCTGCTAATACATCCGGGTCGCTGCTGAACAACAGTCTTGACAAAACGTTTAAGCAAGGAGCAACCTAGGTTAAAGAAAAATATTGCATAAAATAAGGTGTTTTGTAGTTTTCAAGTTTCAGGGAACATTCTGCAAAGGCATAAAGGTTCAAAACTACTTACTGCCAAAGCACATGAGCTCATTAATGAATCAGGACCTAGGTAGAACACTTCCTGATTAAACTAGATATCCAATTCAAATCAGCAAATCGGATGAATTCTGATTCACAGTCTATTTATTTAGAGATAATATATTAGGTATATAACTGTCCAGCTTAAACAATAAACACCTGCTTTTACAGGTTACTAGATGAACAGGAATTACTGATGCATTTTTGACTCACTCAGGGAACAGAATTTCAGTGTAGGAACATTTTTTTGATATTGCTGTCTCTGTAGGAGTACTGGAGCTGGTATGTTGTAACAACTCATTTACAATTGCTTTACCACAAAGAAACTCAAAAGTAATTCACAGAGGACTCAACGTTCACTGAATCAAAATGAGCAATGTCTGACTCCACTTCTCACTGTAATTGCAGTCTCTGGCCTTAGTCTTCTCCTACAGGTTCCACACAGAGCCAAATTAACCTGACCTCCTTAACACTGCTTGGAAAGTAACAGGTTTCAGGCATACAACTTAGGAATTTCATACTCTTTGTAGAACTTAATTCTTTATCTTACATCAGTTATGCAATTCAGCCTCCTTTATGTATCCAGCAGGTGCTATTGTGAAAGACAAAAGGCAAAGGAGCTATTCTCACTAGCAGCTGCCTACAAGGCATCCTTTTCCACTGAAGTTACAAGCATTTAAGAAATCCCGTGGGAGTTTTACCACCAAAACAAAACACTACTGAACTTAGGCAGAGCAATTGTCAATTAATTGACATAAGAAGTCCTCTCTTTTTGTTAGCATCTCTCCACGAATGATTAAATAACAATGACAGTAATTACTCTCATAAGGTAAATTTCAAGACATGTAGATTCTCTCCAGATTATCTTAATTGATCATTTAACTTCAGTCTCTTCTGCCAAAATATCCCCTGTTCAGTTATTTTAATCTTTTAATGTCATTAAACTTACCGGAAATTTATTTCATACTGAAAATAAGGAGCTAATACTCCTACTAGTCTGTACAGTCTTCCTGTCTTCATAAGCACTTACTGGAGAGGAGGAAGTGAAGGGGAGAGCATACAGGCAAATCACCCCTGTCATCATAGTCTGATTTAACTGCATCTGACAGAGCAGAAACCTCAAAACTTTATTCCTGCAGCATGCACTTGCAATCATAAAACTAAAAAAAAAAATTTAAAAGCTTCATTCATAACTCACATCTTTTAAAGAAAATCAAGAGGAAAATATGGGTTTAGTGCTTGTTTGTCCAGCACATTGTATCAGTGAATGACTATTTGCATCTGAGCAACTACAATCTCAAGTTTTTAAGTATTTTAATTTTATTGCCAATACCTGTCAAAGCAGAATTTATTTTGCAAATACAAGAGATAGACAAGACCGTGTGATTACATTAAAAACACGAAACTGAGGCTATCTCCAGATTCAAATATTCTGTGTGTTAGAACATATTACAAAAACAAGTTTTCTTCAGCTTTCTGATTTCTCAAAATGAATACTTTATTCTACCTTACTGAAGTCTGGAGGGGGGTTCTTTCCTCTACAGAGATTTGAGAGAGCCCAGACTGCATTTCTAGTTGTTGTAAGACGATTTGAATTTGTTAACAGTCTGTCAAAGAGAAACAAAAGTAATTAAAGAAAAACCCAATAAATTTCTTATTGAAAAGGTAAAACTTTTAATGTGTATTACCACCAACAGTACCTCAAACCAGGAAAAGAAATTCTGTTATTCAGGACTAGTTTCAATTTACTTCTCTTCATAGCTTACATGCTGAAACCATTTTCTTAGAATCATCTGAATCTGAATAGATTTTGAGTGGACATCTCATTCCAAGATCCAGTCTATGCATATAAAGTAAACCATTGCTCATATTAGAAATCATTCAACTAATCTTTTCTGGGGGTCTTCAGAAGGGATGCAATCTTCCCTTGAATTAACTTTGATGTTTTCATTCAGCAATTGCAATTAATAATAATAAAAACAGTTCCATAAAAAGTTAAACGGAAAAGATCTTCTAAAGAAAAATAAATCAATACACTTGGTTTTGATGAATAGAATGTGAAGACTCAACACCTGAATAATCAGGTTCAATTTCAGATACATAATAAAATGTTTAAAATTGTTAATCCTTTAAGTCCTTGAAGACGGTAATAATTTCCTCTATTATTTTAAGCTATTTTATAAATGTTTTAAAGAATTTTACTAGCTTAAGCAGCAATTCATTGAACAAAATTTGTATTGTATGACTTTCTTCCTTGTGATGAAGCTACCTTACATCCTACTGTAAGAGTATAGTAAACACTGGAACGATATTCCTAGTGAAGAGAAATCTTCTGGTGGAACACAGCTCATATAATAACTACCCTGCCCGCTAACCGCAACGAGGAAATGGGCAAATAGCAATGCTGGAGCTTGGAGCTGCTGGACAAAGGTGGGGAAAACAGCCTATTGCCCAGCCAGCCGGAATGACAACTACAAGTGTCAATTAAATCACCTCTCCCAGCCTGTATATCCAGAACTCTGGCAACACAGAGTTCTGTACAATACAGAAATTTTGTAACTTGGATATAACACTTCTCTCCTTTTGCAAACATTGAAAAGATTCCTGTCATAGACTTATTAAAGATATGCATAAAACTCAGGTAATCCAAAACACTAACTTCACAGCAGTATCATAAAAAAGAAACATTCTCCATTTAGCAGAAAGCTTCTATTATTTTCAAATAAATGTCAAGTTGTAGCTTACAGTTATCTATATCTTTACATTATAATTATAGTATTAATTTACAATACTTACTCCAAGAGGGGTGGTAATATTCCACAGTTTAAAACAAAGTCTCTGCATTCTGCATTATCACCAGCTATGTTACCGAGAGCCCACACTGCCTTAAAAAAGCAAAGCACCTGAGTGAATTCATACATGCTTGCAAAACAACTTTTACAGACCATCTATACCTTTTTTTTTTTTTACAGCAAATATTATAGAATCTAAAAAAGCAGTATCATTCCAAGTATAAAATTGTGGAAAACTACTGATTTCTACACCACGTTTTGTGAACTCACACAAAGTCAATTACCTACACTTGAAGTCATCCTTTCTGTTAGGAAAGCACATCAATGCAAGTACTTTTCAATAAAAAGGATGCACACACTCTTTTCAACAGTTACATTTGCTCATTGTGTGCAATACGTTGAATAAAACTGGCTCAAAGTTGCAAACAATGTATGAGGAATAAAAATGTGAAAACATGAAGTTTGACTATACAAACTTTGAAACATGCTAAATAAAAGTCAGTAAATTACAGCCTCCCTGAAGCACAAAAAAAAACCCAGTCAAACCAACCAACCAACACCCTCTCTAACCACACTCACTCCAAAGAAGACATCCATAAACAAAAGTAGTTGTAAAACACCTGAAGTAAACACCTACCTGCTCCTGTACATCTTCATGTTCTGAACTAAGCAACTTAATAAAAATTGGAACAGCTCCAGTTTCAATTACAACTTTGGTGTGTAGAAAAGTTCCGGATGCAATGTTTGTCAAAGCCCAAGCTGCTTCAAACTGTTGATGAGCACAAAGACAACCATGTTAAACCACTTGGCACTAAAACCCAAATTCATGAAAAACAGCTTGACATGAGAGGTGCAGAGATAAGTCAATTCTCCAACTTTTTCTCCTTTCCACTGACATTGCAATTATCACTATTATTGTACTTTCTACACAATAAAATAATTGGTATTGAAAAAACCTCTATTTAATAAGAGCCTTCAGTGTCTAAATCATTTTTAGGTTTTGCCTTGCAGCACTACTGTGAAGAAGATTTCAAAACTCTATTAACTAGTACAAATCCCTTCTGTTTATATTAATTACTCTAGTATGTATGTACACAAGGCCTAAGTGCCATTCCATGGGCTACCACAAGTAGAAAGAACTAGTTACTCCTATCACTAGTTATATATATTTCAAAGATTTTATAAATGGGTTTCATATAAGCCTTTCAGATTCCTGTATTTTTTTCTTCTTTTCTAAGATTTTGATTGAAAAGTGCTACAATACACTCAACACAAACAAAACAGATTCTGTTCACACATCAGTCCTGATGAACTTAATATACCATTCTAGAAACTCTCTTAAATACATTCTGCTTTCATCACCCAAGTATTTGACCATCCAAGTACATAATCCTAAAGACTACTACAAAATTTACATTCATTAAAAGAAAAATCAATCACACGTTTCCCAAAGCTCATTGGTGGGGTTTCTAATCCCATTCCAAACCCCCAGTCAGTACCAGCGAAACTCACTTGCAGAGTGTAATTCTCACTTCTCTCTAGAAATTTCACAAATCTCTGTACTACTCCTGGCTTTTGTATGACTTCATCTATAGGTGGATTAGGCTCTAGGGAATAAAAACAAACATTTGTGTAAGTCTTACAAAAAAGACCAAACAAATTACTTTTTCATTATGACAAACATGAATATGATTCTCAGTTCTTATCATATTTTTTAGCATTTAATCATTTTAATCTCAAATGAAGGAGCTAAAATCTTGACTTTAGAAGACTGCAGGATCACCTCTGTAACATGTTATGATTTTGGAAACATCCTATTATATAATATATTAGTAACACATACTAGTATCCATCAGCATGTTAGTAAGAAATCACAAAAGTTCTTTCAGTCAATAGCTCAGGCCAGTGGAAGAGCAATTATAATTAGACACCATCTCAAATGACTAAGCATACCTTTAACTATCGTGCTATACAAACACCAGCATTAATTCAAGACCACCTATCTTACAGGGTCAACAAAAACAAGTCACAAACATTCTTTCGCAGCCATATAATTTTTCTACCCTCAATTACAAAACGAAAATCAGAAACTGAATCACTGCAACAAGTACTGTAAGTAGTGTGCAGTTAGTTACTACCCTGGACACTTCAATCAAAATATTCTTGCTTTTGTTACTTTGTCTGAAAGACTTAACATTAGAATAACGAAGCTTTCTGTATCTAACCATTAGGTCGGAAGAGATTGGGCACAGTTTCTCTGTAAACAGAACTAGAAGTTTCAGCAAGCTCTATTTTAAAGTAAAAACAAAACTAAAGGTTAACTGACTGACTATGACTAAAAATCATTGTGACATGGAACAAAAAAAATCAGGCAACATTTATGTACCTTTAGATAGCAATTTTCTGAATTTCTGAGTTGCTGTGAGCTGCTGATCAGGATCATCCGAGAAAATCATCTGTACCATATCTACTGTAATAACTTCTTCCTAAAAATGAAAGGAGTACTTCTTATGTCTGGTGCTATGCACATGAACAGGTAACGCTCTAAGCACACTCTGAAGTAATTACCTCTGGAATAGGGACAGTGGAGCTGACATCAGGATCCTGAATTGGACTTTCTACCATAGATTCTTCATTTCCCGGGAGAGAAACATTTCGGCGTTTAAACAGCTAAACAAAGAAGAAATTTTTGGCAGACATTAGAACTTGCTGTAGAGTGGGTATTGATGGCATACACCTGAAGAAATGCTCTCACCAATACTAGTCAAAGTATTTCAGCTACTCACTTTCCTCCTCATGCATGCAAATGGAATTCTGTCACAGTGACACTTAAAAACTAGTTCTTTTTAATTAGCAAAGATTCATAAATTTTTCACATGTAAGAAAAAGAAGATACAGATCTTTTAGTCGTTTATCCCTCATAATTGGCATTTACTTTTAAGCAGGAAGCAGTGTTCTACAAGCTACTTTCTCCTTTTTTAGTTTATAGGTTAAAATCATCAACATAGAGCTAATGTTTGTATTTTACTACATTGCATTCCCCTGTTCAATAGAGGGTCTAAGATCTATGTACTTTCTTTGCATGGTAACTAAACAGCAACTATAATTCATGTACAGTTGCAGGAAGACTAAAACAGAAACGCTACTTTAATATAGTTAGAGAAAACCCAGCATAGCTTCAAGGTGAACTTCCAAATTATATAACATTAAACATTTTCTGTGTCCAAAAATCACTTTACAATTGGATGCATGCACTGCCTAAGCTCAAAATACATACCTGCACTGCAGTATTTAATAAGCTATGTTTAATGAGTGCCTCTTCATTTTCTGGCATACAAGCAAAACATTCACATCAGCCTTTTTTCCTCTGGAAATCAAACCTAAGTTTTTATCCTTAATCCAGTACTACACTTACAATTACTGTAATTAACAATTCTAAGAATATTATGTTGGCATCTTGAAAAAGAAATGTTAGAACTTCAGCCCATGGACTAAGATTTCACCTGTAAGCATTATTATGAAACCTCCTCCTAAATCCTGAAGGTTTTGTCCTCCAGGTATCTATTATAGACATCTGCATTTCTGCTATTGTAAACGCTCAAAACTGCAGAAGGAACTCCTTCTTTACATCTGCCCATATTTCAAACAGGAACCTAGAACATTCTCTCCCTTGCTCAACCCACTTCTTGACCGGGCACAATCCTGGACACAAAACGACTGCAGAATCCTGGAGGTAAAGAAGGTTTAATTCCATTTAAACCCACAAAAGAGAAAAAAACACTATTTCCTTTTTTGTAAGGCCAGACATTCTTTCCCGCACTCAAGGACACAGAAGCTCCTGTCTGAAAGGTATAAACTGTTACTGTTTAAGGTCACAGTCTATCTACCACTTACAATTTCTTCTGGAACAAACGCAGTCTCATCATAAACTTGTTCCCAGCTCAAGAAGAACTGAAAACACCAGTCCAACAAATTAAGATCAAGGAGAACGTAACTGTATTGTCACTGTCATAGAAGTAAGCATGGGAGAGATAACACACATTATTTCCATCCTTTATCTAGGGAGTCTTTACTACAAAATACACAAACCAAATTTTCAGCAGAAACTGCAACACTGTTACCTACGGCAGATGCTGCAGTACTATACTGTTTCCTACTCTTATCTCTCTGGCCCAACTAATTTCAATTATTTTCCCACACAGTAGCACCACTTTCCCAGGGGAAGGGTTAGCAGTCCCACCTCAGAAAAGACTAAAGACGAGTGCCTGGGACACTGCCTAGGTTGTGGGAGATAAAATCAGCCTTTTTAGACCAAGTAAAAAAACAAACTACATTCCTTACTTTCCTGGCAAGAAACCACTGAACATTTTGAGAAAAGGAACTAACACAAAACATTAAATTATGCAATGCTTCATGCACTCTGATTGCTAAAAAAATCAATAAGGACAACTGCAAATGTTATGTATAATAGTTCAGGAATCACTAATTGCTAGCCACTTTACTAAGGTATTGCAGAAGTGCTTTTGGGCAATTTGAAGGAGGAAGATGTCCTGGTTTGGGGGTAAATAGAGCTGGTTCTGCTCTGTGATTTTACTTTTTAGCTAAAGTTCTTCTAATTAACTAATCTGTCTGAATTAGCAACATTCTCATAAACTATCTGACTGTAGCAGTGATAAGACTTCATGTTTAGAGTTACTGCCAGAGATTGGTATGCAGTCATAATCAAACAAATGGAGATTCACCAATGGAACATTCCATTCCATAACTGTCATATCCAGTAGAAGCTGAAGGATCAGGAGAGACAGCCCCTCTGTCGCCCCTTCCGTTCTTCTCTTCTTCCGTCTACTGCTACTGGGCTGCTGATTACCTCTACAATGGACGGCATCTGAGGAGGACTTCATCCATCCTGCCTTTGATCTCAACTCCTGTATTCCTAAACTGAGTTCCAGAATCCAGCTCCTGCGCCCAGTCACCGTCTGTGGCTGAGTCCAGCCTGGGACCCTCTTCCTGAGGGACTTCTCCCCAGCCGGGGGTGATGGTGACATATTACCATCGGAGAGAGTTGGGTTCAGGACTAACTTTATGTATTTATATATACTTATCATAGCCTAATTTATTATCATTATTACTATTATTACTAGTAGTAATATTAAAACTATTTTCTATTCTTTCCTAATCAACAAGGCTCTCTCATTCCCTTTCCCTTTCAGGGGTGGGAGGAAGGGAGAGAGCATCTATTACAACTCTGGGGACTGCCCTGACCCCAAACCACAACAGAAGAGGATTATTTTTGTCTAACAGTATAACTTTGGCCCAAATTCTGGAAGAGAATGCAAGGTTTCTACTCCTTACTGGAGATAAGAGTATCCTTTCAGCCAGCCTTAGATGTTTAAATCTAGACTAAACTTAAGCCAGCAGTCTCTCTTCTGAGTGCCTTAGTGACTTAAGAGGGCTTCTGTTCATTTTCTTAACAATCCTATCGAAAGGTGCCTGGTGTCCCCTAACACTACAGAGAAAACAGACATCCAGCCTGGCACTCTGGATTCTGCCTAAGTCCTTTCAGATACCTGAATTTAGTTTCACAAGTTCTGAAGAGCTCATCAAGACATTTACCTGTTCTTCCCTTTTCTGCTTCCGAAGCTGGATTCCCTCCTCCTCTCTCCGTCTGCGCATCTCTTGGGGGTTAAGCGCATTATTCTTGTAGCTTTTCATTCTGAAGTTATCTTTACCTGGGCTTGCCATGTTGTCTATTAAAAAAAGGGAAAATTACTCCAAAAGGCCAAACTGTTCAAGGCAAACCTGACATCTCTTGTAGTACAAAAAAGTATGTACAGCAGCAGCTTGCAACACCCAGTTCATCAATAAAAATCTCTAAGGCGAAAATCACACAAAAATCTTTGCCTAGACAGACATTTCTAAACAGCAGTTTAAACTACAGTTCACCTCAGGGATCACATACTCCATTAAAGGGCAAAAGCTACTGTAAAACGAATTTGCAGGTCTTATGAGCAAACTGAGAAATAAAAAGCAAAAACATTAGGGTGCTCAATTTTCCTTCTGCCAGCAACTGAAGGAACTTGCTTCCTCCTCTCATAAAGGAGACATTACATGTATTAAAAAAATAAGGATAAAGCCAAGAAGAAAACCTGCACTAATTACTGTTCCATTTAATATTTTACTGCATTGTTTCTTTATTTTTATTTAAAGATGCCCATCTTGCAAACATAGCACAGGATCTAGAGGTTATGCTGTTTCCTTCTAAACTGTATGCAGAAAAACAAATTAAGGGTCAGGAGCACCCAGATAGGCACACTCTTTTCCATTCAAAACTAACAAAATGATCGACTCAGTCTAGTTAATTAGATTAGCCCCTTTGATGGATTAGAGGATTAGAATCTGACTGTCATTTCAGGCATATCAGCTGTGAAAAGATAAAAGTGATCACACATGCTTCTGTCACTGAAATGATCAAACTGACTGAAAAAGCTGTTAATAGCATAGTGCCAGTTTTGAAAGCTAAAACAGTAGCCTTCAACTGAGAAATAACTGTCAAAAACATGATTTAAGACTCTACAGGAACTCTCATTTGCCTGGAATTCTTCCACACCAAGAAAACATTTCAACCACAACTGCTGAGCTGTCATTCACAATTCCCTATCAACTTCCATGCTGGGCCTTTTTTTTTTTTTTTTAAATATCAGTGGTACCAAGAACTGCTGAGCAAAAATCACAAGCTACAAGAAGAAAACAGTCCACAAACTTAGGCTGACATCAACTAGACACTCTGAGGACTGCAGCCTGCTTCACCCAAACACATTTGCTCCACAAGAACCTTAGTAAAGTACTGCCATCTCCGGACAACAATGTTAAGTGTGCCACAATCTAAAGCAATTTTCTAGTAATTGTCATGTAACTTCTGAGGCACGATTTAAGGAGATAATTTGTCCAACAACACTACTGGTTTAACTAGTTCTAGAACATCACCAGTTAATCACTCATGCCTTGCTAATTTTGTAGCACAAATAAAACTGTCAGGCCAAGCAATGAACCAAACAAGAGAAGTGTGCTTTCAAAGTAACCCCGGTTAGGTCACCAGCTCTATAAAGAGGGATAGAAGCTCAAGTCAGGGGTGGCGGTGGGGAAGGCTCCACCAAAACTCTTTTCAAAAACAAAAGGTTACTAACTTAAGAGCTTCATACTCCCTACAAGGGTTTTGGCACAGACCTCATAAAGGTAAAAAGACGGGCAGTCCCTGATCCATCCAGGCTTCCTGACTTCCGCACCTAGGTCCGAGGAAGTCTGCACTGGCTCTGCAAAACTCCACTCGTTTCAAAACTTAAAACCCTCCACGCACCACAACCCGCATCGCACCCACTTGTTGTGCCTAGGCTAAGACAGACCACACCGACGATCTCCTGCCCGCCTCCACAAGGCTCCCCAAATACAGCGACTCGCTGTACCCGCGCCGGGGGAGGCCATAGGCAGCCC